GTGTCACTTATTTATGAGGTTTCACAAAAAATGGGCTGACCTAAATTTAGTTTACGCCCAATTATGTTTGTAAATAAATGTAGCATCTGTATGTGAAGAATTTTTGTGTGCTATGTTTTTTCGTTTCTTCAGCACTTTCGAAATCTGAGGAAGCTTCCTGAAGATGTTTTGGAGAACCTGCCAGACCAAATTCCCATTAAACTTAAGAAAATGGACAATGATGTAACATCTAAAGTAAAGCGGGGACGTGAGAAACACGATGAACATGGAGCTGTGAAAAACAAAAGACATGGTACGTAGACTGCGCACAGTGTCCACTGGTTTCCGTGTGTGAATTATGCAGTGTATTGCGTGTCTCAAAATTTTCATCTTTTTCCTGCAGCTACAGATTTCAGGAATCGAGGTGACGTCGACTATATCCCACTCGGCACTTGTGGAGCGACGGAGTTTGGTGTGATGCCGCTCGATGACTTGACGAGGGCTCCGAAGTCATTGTCGCAGCGGGCTGCTCAGTTCAAACAGAATATGTTGTTTGGTAGCCGCGTAAAAAGAGGACCAGGTGAGTCTGGATAACTTTATTTTATAACAGAATTGAATGAAGTGTTGTGGTATTACTGCTGATGTCTTTGTGTGATCAGCTGCCTATCTGATTTGTTATTTTATGGTATAATATTATAAATTATATATTATAATTTTTCGTAGTGCATAGAATGTTTTATGAAATGTAGCGAGTTCATTGAAAAATGGTTCGTTGAAGCACAGGTGTGGAAGCTGCGAAGAAGAGGAAGAGACGAACATTGATTTTGAAACACAAAAGTAATAAATGTAATGCAATAACATAAATTAACTTCCTTGTGCTTCAGATGTTAATGCATATAATTTTATGCTTTGTGCCGAAGTGTCATGTAATTAGTAGCTCTTCCTTTGCTTGTATTATTGCAGCAAATATACAGACCATCTACCAACAGAAGCTGAAGGCGTCAGGAAAGGGCAGACTTGTCAGATAGATGCAAATCAAAGGCGAGATGAAGATGAGGACATGTAGTCGCTATTATTTAACGTTGTTATGAGGAGGTATTAGTGTTAATAATCATGACATTTATTAGCTGTTCAGATCATATCAAAGATGAGCGCCCACGAAGAGTCTGCTGAAGGGCTTTTCTCTGCGATATGTCTCTGTTCGTCCCTAGGGCTAATGAAGTGTGAGTTTATGTAATTCTGTTATATACATGTATTTGTAAAAGTGGCAAAGTGCATCTTCCTTGATGGTTCCTAGGTTTGTGGTTTTTGTATATATTTCTCAAACTGCGCTTACTTTCTTCAAGTAACAAATTATTCTTGTCTCGCAAGGCAGTGTACACGGTGGTGGAGTTGTAGAGGTATACACTGGCATGTTCTTCAGGTACGTTTCAGCGTTAAGAAATTGAACTTCCACCCTTCCATTTACACATCTCAGTACAGTGAAACCTTACATTGAAATTTTCCTCACGAGAGCATGTTCAGAATGTTTCATGCTTGTCGTACAAGCTCCAGTTTTGTTTATGCGCTTCCTGTTATCAGAGTTTATATCTGTTCGCCATTTTCTATAATTAAAACCTACGGCCTGATTATATACTGTATCAGGCAAGAACGGTCTTTTCTGATGGGGCCGTGGCTGGTGTAATGGTGACACTTTCGCAGTTGTGATCCAGGGGTAATCTATCCTGACTTGAGGGTTCTCATGGTTTCAATCAGTCTCTTGAGATAGATACCATGATACAGTCTTGAAATAGGTCATGATCACCTTCCAAATCCCTAGGTATGCACAATTCCTGACATTCATCTCATTTCTTTTATCCTTTCACTATGTAAAAATGTACGATCCCCCCAAATAAAATTATCTTGAAATTTTCTGAGATTTCAGATTCTCATGATGACAAGTATGAAGGAGGCTGTCATCTGCGTTGTTGCACTGTGTAGTCTGATAGATACTGACCAACGTTTTACAGGAGCTGACTTCCTTTTTCCTTCAGCTGCATACATCACCAGGTTGTTGATGATTTAACACCCTGGTGATGGGTGGCGTTAAGCTCCTCAAAGCCTCCGGTCATTATCTACCATACTACATAGTGCATTATCCCAGTAGATAAAATTTATTATGATGCTTCTAAAAGCCTGCCATTGGACCGTATCACATTCCATTCCATACCCTCACATGCATCTTGTGTAAGACACATTTTAATGTTATCCTTCCATTTACAAGTAGGTCTCCAGAATGTCTTGAATTTTCACGCGTACTGCAATACATGTATTGTCCGTCTTAGCTTCTTTGGTATGACCTTCATAATATTTGTTTAAGGGTATAAATTGGGAAGCTCCTTATTATGGAGTTTTCTCTGTGTCTCCACATACCTAGATTTGAATAAACTAACTCATAATAAAGTAAAGTTATGTTTTAGTGTCTGCATGGTAAATTTAATTTCCTTGTGTCATATTACGAACCTGTTGTTATTGACAGCATCATCCATTAGCTGAAGTTGCTCCTTTGCCCGACCACATTAAAGTTTCGGGTGGAACGGTGAACTGAGCGCATCTCAGAGTCAGAATTATTATGGTTCACTCTGTACCTGAACCTCCCAACTTCTACAACCTAGAAGTTTCCATTCCCCTAGCGTACTCATGTACTTACATCAAATTACTTTTATTCAATCTCTCAACTTTGGAGTGATTCCATTGAGCCAAGAGAGGGGGACATGGGTAAATGATGGGTCTGTGTGCCCATAAGGTTGGTGGTGAATTCTCAGTTATGTTGGTTTGTATTTTTTAAATTCCCTTTAGATTTAGCTTTAAGCCCTCCTCCAAAAAGACATTTCATTACTAAATTGGTTTCACCAGTTTGCTTGGAACTACCTATTGATTTTTGGTGTTCAGACGTGTTGTCCTTTTATGTGCCTTTTTCACTGTAAATACTGTATTAGCGTAAACTACACCAATTACACTCTAATCTTTGTGGTTATGGCTCATTGACGACCATTCGTCTAATCAAGAAATTTTTTGCTATTACAGGATCTTAAGGCCTGTCACACTGTTTACAAAAATTTGACATAACACCCTAAAAATTAAATCCGTGGCGTAACAACTCCAGAGAGCCAAAGCCGACTAGCTTGACTGCTGGCCTCACGTTCACATGCCTAAGCAGAGGTGAACGATCATCCAACCAGATATAGGGTGACGTGTGGTCAGCACGACGAACCCCCAGCCATTGCTAGTTTTCCTGACCGGATTACGTTACTCATTGTAGCTCCCCAATTTCCTCACGATGTTGGATTGGCACTGGTCCCATACACCGGTCGAAAGCTCATGAGAAAATTTCTTCTCCCCCGAGACTCGAACCAGCGTGCATTCCGTATCGCCGGTCCGAAGCATGATGCCTCAGACCGCCCGGCTACAGTGCGGGACAACATAACACCCTATTCTGGCTAATTCAGCCAAGTTTAAATCTATGAAACATGTTTTTGTGACATCAATTGTAATATTATCCTTCCATCTATTCCTAGTTCTCTAGGTTTCATCACGCCCATGATTTACTAAACGTGATGACACAGGACAAAGGATGAAGCTCCTCATTATGTTTCATGGAACGTTTTATTGTTTAGAATTCATAAAAATACAGATTAAATAATCTTACTTTATAAAGAAAGTGGCTTTATGAAAAATATCCGTTGAGTTCTTGGCTTTCCATAAACGCACAACTTGCTGTTCATTAAGATGCATATGTTTCCCGAAACCGCATCTGCAAATGTTGATATGCCGTGTAGATTGTATTTTGTTTTGGGTGGTTGGACTTGCTGTTCTTGACAATGCAATTGTTAGTTGTGCAGTGCTCTGCTTCCGTCACTTGGCACTGTATTGGCGTGATTGGCGTGTCGTTGCCTGGGTGCACGAAGAATGCTATACTGTGCCGTGCTTTTGAACGGATCTTTGGTTGCTCAGGGACCACGACACGGTGACGCTGTGAAACGAGCAAAAGTATTAGTACACCAGAGAATTTCTAAGGTTTGCTAAAACATTCTGAAAGAATGGATGCAAAACTCGGTTGGTAATTGATTCGCAGTGAAATCTCGGGCGATAAGCCATTCGAGTATGTAGATGCAATCCAATGTTTTGGAAGCTGTCTCTATCATCATGGTTGATGTTCACATTAGAAACATTTTCCAAAAAGTTGTATTGTAATTCTGTACTTACACAGCTAATCCTAGATTTCATTGCATTTGCTCATTGCGAAAATTTTAAATCTTGCGTAGTAATTCATTTGCCAAAGAAATTAGTGTTAAAGACTAAAGCCTCAGGAAGATGAAGATATATTTGCTCCTGTACCTATACGATTCTGTGAAGGTGTAATTGGCTTGAAGGTAATGCTTCACACATTCTTAACGTTGGCAGCAGCTGAAAGTTAATTTTGAGCTTCACTCTCTGGCAGCTTTCGTCACATGATATGTCTGCAATACCTATTGGATAAGTTGGCTTCAGAAAGGAATCAAACCTCGGTCTTCCAAAATGGCTGTCTTCTAGGTTGTAGCATCATGCAGTCTGGTAGAAGTTTACCAGTGTTTCAGAGGTACTTGCTGCCTTCATTATCAGGGCAATGTTTTCTTTCCATGAAGTTCTTCAACCAAAATGGGTTTTTTTTTGCATTTATTTCCCATGTGTGATATCTTTCCATATTAAGCTCATCACTTTAATCATATTAATAATATGAAATGAAGAATGAAAACCATCTTTACCTTTTCCGTTATAACCACTAGAGATGACGCTTCCTTGAGAATGTTGTAGTGGTTCCGGAACTTACCAGTGCGGGATATTTGTTGTTTGTCCAAGATGCCAGTAGCTCTCCGGTGTTAACAAGGATTGATCCTGGCAGGTGGCCAACACGACCCCATCTATGGCTGCTTGTCTGAACCTGATAAGAAAAATGAATAAACCACTGTTATTGTACGTATAATGAGGGGAGGGGGTTACACCAGAAATAGAAATATGTTTGAAACGAACCATAACAAATTCACATCAGCTTTGTACTGAATGGCCTTCTTGAGCAGTAGGAAATAGCTTACATTCATTTCGCCATTTATCGCAATACGCACTTGTATCATGTTAGGTTGGGTTATGTTAGGTTAGGTTCACCTGTGACAACATGACAGATTAATGGCACTATTTATATTGTAACAAGCTGTATGTTGTGGCAATACTTAACTGTGTGATGAAATCTCAGGGTCATTGATATGGATGACTATCGTAACGCAGAAAAAGAATAAAACTTGTTACATCATTCGGTTTATGCACAGGTTGTCTTGCGGATGTCTTTAGAGTCAAAGTGAGTAGGGTCAAGATGAGGAATGGTTATGTAAGAAGGGTGGAAGGAGCAAGCCAAAGGGATGAGACTGACGAATCAGATCATTAACCAGGAATGTACCATATTAATATTTTTCTCTGCCATTACCTCAAGGCCGCCTTCGCAGTCCTGGGCGAGCAGAGTGAATGTGCCGTAGTCCGAGTGTTCCCCACATCGTGTGACTCCTGGTGTGGGTGGCGCACCAAATGGGGGATAGTACAGCAGTCTCATACAGGATTCATTCCCCTCCTGAAACATGTTGCGATGGGAGTCGAGGAAGTATTCGGCTTGCAGATCTGCAAACACAAGATGTCACTAGTAGTTAGGCGTAAGGTATTTTTTTAGATGTACAGAAAACTTAGATAATAAGTGAATAAATTTTATTTCATGTCGGCCCAATATAACCCCTGCTCTAA